TTCTCACACCTTATTGGTTAATTCTTATAATACATCGAACTGTTCCAAAACTACAACCAGAACTCCCAAGTGATTGGTTACTGTTATGGTGAATTAGTCAGTGGCCTTCTTACTTGTTCTAGTACACTAGCATCATGTAAGGAATATATCATCAAAGTACTGCTTTTGCATGTTAACATCAACTTTTTGGTTGCCTTTGCAGTACTAATGAGTTGGCATCAGTAATTAATCACTGTAAATCACTGGTGCTAGAGCATCTACTTTGTTGCTAAGCAATAGCTTTATTTTTTATAACTCTTTTGTAACTTATGATTTTAATACCACTACTTTCTAGCTTTCTTGACCTAGCATATTTTTAACTTGAACTCTTAAAAATCTCTAGCTGATGATTTAGGCTACTTGTACTTCATTTATTTATCAACCTAGTTTCTCAACAACAGCATCATTTCTTATGCTATTTTTGTATACACATGTATTACATTTTACTTTCTTATATTTTGCTTTTTGCTCTCTAAAGAAAAATGTCTTAAACTTGGAAATTACCATGAAGCAATTGCACGAATTCCTAAAAATTCTCATTTGTTTCATTCACCATGAGATGGGTGTTTTCCCCAGGGTTGTGGATGACGAAGATGGATGTCTCCAATGCTTACCTCCACATCTCGATAAGGCATCAGTCTCGACTTTACCTTTGGTTTGTCCATCATGGGGTGGTTTACCAATTTCAGACAATCTTCTTCAGACTTGCCTTGGCTCCCTGTGTGATTTGTCTCATAGTCCGAGCATTTGCACGTCATCTCCATACTCTGGGGATGCAATTTTATTATTACATGGATGACTGGCTCATTCTGAGCAGGAGTTGGCCACTCATACTCCACAACTTCTTTCTGTGACAGCTTGGGTGGGCTGGTTGGTCAAATTGGAGAAGTCATTTTTTCAACCCATTCAATATCTAGTCCATTTGGGAACTTTTTTGACATGAATATCAGTCATGCTCTGCCTTCTCCTTCACGTCTTTGTTCTATGGAATTTTTGGTTCACCATGCCTTCTCGGCTCAGTCATTTACTGCTTGCTAGGTTCTATCGCTTTTGGAGATGTTTTGCTCGCGACTGCACTGGTCCTTCTTGGTCGTGTACGTATGAGATGATGAAACTTTGCTCAGGATCCTCTTTCCACCCCCATTTCCCTTCCTACTTCCCTGCAAGATGATCTGCATTGATGGCTGGACAAAGCACATATGTCGGTGGGCATGCTGCTTCCTCCCATGCATCCAGATCTACATTTTTTTCATGGACGGGATGGGAGACATGGATCAATCACCAGCTAGCTTAAGGCCATTGGTCTGCAGATGAAGTCATCTTGCATATCAATATTCTCGAACTTCTAGCAGTACTTTGGATGTTACGTCATTTCCTTCTTCTTCTTGCCCATCATTGTCTGATGATGGTTCATTTGGATTCGGACAACTCCAACATGGTGGCCCATAGCAACCACCAAGAGGACATCCGGTTCAGAGATCTATGTTTTCGGACGTTGGATCTATTATACTGGGCCCATGCACATCACATTTGCCTTATTGCATATCATGTGCCGGGTGCTTTCAATCTTATCACTGATCATTTGTCGTGATCCAACCTAATATATCCAATGGAGTGGACATTAGATCCACTTGTTTTTAGGGATCTTTGCCATCAGTGGGGCTTTCCCCCAATTGGATGCATTTGCCACAGGCCTCAATACTAAGCTGCCCCTTTTTGGTCACCTGTACCGCATCCACAGGCTTTGATAGATGATGCATTCAGCCAGGATTGGTCACACGAATATCTTCATGTGTAACCTCCCATCTGATTACTTCTTGGTTTCTAAGGCTACAACATCTGCTCCTATCACTACCTGTCCTTCTTCCACTTTCTCCCTTCCTTCTTCGTCAACCTCGATCCCATATTCTGCGTCCCAATCTCCACTTCCTGCGTCTTCACGCCTGGCTTTTGTCTGGTCCTTGGTAAGGCGATCCAGTTTCACACATCGAGTCACGTCTTTGTTAGCTCATTCCATATGACCATTTTCCATGGAAGTATACCAATGCAAGAGGAAAGTATTCTGCTGTTGGTCTACTAACAGGGGATTTCCTGCTGACAAGCCTTCTGTGGCTCGTGTGGTGGAATTTCTCACCTAGCTCTTTGACCATGGGTCTTTGGTCTCCTTGCTTTCCAGATATTGGGTGACCCTATCCCATACCTTCTGTTTTTCCTGACACCGTAAGATTTTTATTTTCCTTGTTCGTACAATACTCATGCATTCCTTCCAGATAAGTTGACTTCCCAGATGTCCAGTCCTTCCAAATTGGGACATTAACTGTGGTCATTCATACCCTTACTTTACCTTTGTTTGAACCACATTCCTCATGTTCCTTTTTTCATCTGTCCCTTAAAACATATTTCCTCCTCCTTTTAGCCTGTGGACGTCGAAGGTCGGATTTGTATGCCATTGATGTTTTATGTACCCTTTATCACCTTACCTATCTCCTTTATCCTGATTGTTCCTTTCTCCCTAAGACCTCAGTAGCTAGGGAGGGTTGTTCATCCTTTACTCCTATTTCCCTTCCTTCTATATCCCATCTTTACCCTAGACCTGATCAGGATAGGCTTCTGTGTATGGTCAGGACCCTTAGTTATTATGTGGCACGTACTGCTCCCTTTCAGGGTACATGTAATCAACTTTTTATCCCATAGCAATCCTCCTCCCTTAGTGATTTTTCACCTTCTTCTTTTATTAATTGGGTCTGCCATTTGATTTGTTTGGCCTACTCTTCCTCCTGTACCTTGTTCCAGGTTTCCTCCCATCAGATCCAATATCTCACTTTTTCTCTCACTTTTCATCTTCGTCATCTCATAGAGGAGATTCTATAATCTGGCATGTGGACCACTTCCAGTATGTTCATCTCCCACTATCTTTATCATGTTGCTCTTTCTTCTTCATCAGGGTTTCGTTTACCACCTGTGGCCATTCTCCAGACTTTGGTGCAACTTTAACTGGTAAGTTTTATTTATACTTTCTTTCAGTAGCCTTAACCTCTTTTTATAACATGGATCCTGCTCTGTAGTGAGTGGTGCCTGACCAGGTATTCTTTAACTCTAAATCCACATTGTAAAGCCATGTTGACTTGCGCTTTATTTTCCATGGCTTCACAAACTTACTGTTGAGATGGGGTGTTCACAAGATCTCTTGATGGTGAATAACCTCACAGTATTCTGCATCATAAAAATGCTCATCCTGGACCGTACCACCCATGGACTGCATGGGTAAAGCAGAAGGGGATTGCTGCCCATCCCTGCCATGCCTCAAGTGAACAACTCTGTATGGTCTGCTTTTCAAAATAAGGTTTCGTGGTCACCCATTGCACTCTCTTCAGTGATGATGTTCATCCAGACTCTCCACCGCATCCTTACCCTCCTTTCTTTGAGTGGAGTATGGAACTCCTTACCACTTTCCACTTAGAGGGCAGCACTGAATAAGAATAGGTAATCTTGTGAGAGGAGGTAAGTACTTTTTAGAAATACATTTTGAATATAGGAAAATTATAACATGGATTTTGTTGTTACAGCTGTTTATTGTAGAAGTGAATATAGATGAATATTCATATCCTCATTTTAAATACTGTGTATACAAAACAGGGAAAAATTGATGGTACAGTCATTTCATTTAAAACATAATTTAATTCCTAACATCATACTGACCATTGATTTCTACAAAAATAAAATAATAATCATGTTTTAGAGTACTGTTCTTTAAACAGCACTTAATGTAGCTGTTCAAACTGTGCACACTGTTGAAATCTGTCACAAACACTTCTACCCAAATGTTTACACAACACAATTCCTGATCAGCATTGATATTTGTGAAGGAATATTTTATGTAGACTTTTATTTTGTCAACAACATGAGGCTTTGTACTACAAACAGAATTCTTCAAAACCCCTATCCTCACACAGACTTCCAGTAATTTTTAATACAAAAATTCTTTCCTCTTTGTTTAATTTCCTCAGCATGGTTACAGCACTACCATAGTAATAATATGAAATAATCAAACAATAATTAAATTGTACCTCTGGTGTTTTGAGTCCATTTTACTTCCCCTTAGAAAAAGAAAAATCTTTAACAAGTATATACAATAATTAAATTGGTTTCAATTGTCTTCATAATAATATCTTTGGTATCAACTGTATAGTAACTTTTGTCTCACCCTGTATATTTCTATTTAATGTGTTGTGCTCTGAATAGGAAGATGTCTGGCACTTGGATCTAACACATCCTCAATTTGTGAATCTCATTTATGAAAAAAATAACAGCAAAAGATACTTTCCATTTTATCTTGTATCCTTCAGTGATAGTTTGAAATTGTTAGTGGGTCTATTAATGCTGGTAATGTGATCACCTCTCATGAAGTGGAGGTACATTTTATGGTAATGTTTTGTAAGTGTTGTATTTTCTATCTATGTCACTGTCCATTGAAATATTAATTGTATGTGTAATTGTTTATTGTAAATGTGAGCCATAAAGTGTAGATCCATTTCTGTAAATATTACAGAAAATATTGCCAAATTCTTAGAAGTTTCATTTCTGTTGGGCTGTTTTAGAGTATTATTATATCTGACAACAGTAATCAAAATTTATTTTACATGTTACAATTAACTTTTGCTAAAACCTTTAGTCAGTTAAACTTCTGTCAAATACTCAGTCCCATAATTGGTGATTTTACTCACTCTAATATAGTGGTTCTCAGTCTGTAGTCCCTTTATTTCCTTCCATTGGTCCATTGAAAGATTACATAAAATAAAAAATCAGGTTGTCCATAAACAAAAATGTTTGAGAACAACTGCTGTAATAGGAAGGAAAAGCCTGAATATTTTTAATGTTATCAGTTTCCTATTTTAAGATGTATTTCAAACCTGTATTTTGCCAAAAAAATTACCATGTAATTAGAACCTTTTATTTTTCAGACACTGAAAACCTCAATGACAGTGCTGTGATTCAAATGCATCCAGAATTTCGAATGATTGTATTAGCTAACAGACCTGGTTTCCCTTTTTTGGGAAATGATTTTTTTGGAGCTTTAGGTACAGTTCTTTTTCACAGGCTTTTAAATTAGACCAATATATTTCTTAGAAGGATTTCATAAATCAAAAGTATTCATTCCATAATTGTAGGAATGAATTAGATAATTCTAATATAAGCTCTCTTTAATATTAAAATATCAGTTTTTTTATGTTACATTTTTATATTTTCTTGGCCATGTCTTTGTTTAAATATGGTTTTTAATTTATTTCTTTTTTTGCAGTACTTGTGGTATTCATTGCTTTCACATTGTACTTTATTTGGAAATTAATGGTAGAGATGTTTTTATTCAAAAATATTGAGACAAAAACAGTTGAAAATTCTCAGTCTATGAAGTTTTTAAACTGTGTAGTATGTTATTGTTTATTATATGCTACACTAATTGTTAAGTTAATTGTTAGTCCTGACCTATGTTTGGAGCTTTCTTTTATTTGAAGTTATTGATAATATCTGTAGATGGCTTGATGTTGTTTTTACTGTATTACTAATGATCGCTTTCAAATCTTACTCATGGATGTGCTTTTTCAGGTGATATATTTAGCTGTCATGCCATAGATAATCCAACAGTACAATCAGAAATGACTATGCTACGTCAGTATGGACCAAATGTACCACAAAATATTCTTGAAAAATTAGTTGCTGCTTTTGGAGAACTTAGACAACTTGCTGACCAAAACCTCCTGAATTATCCATATTCTACCAGAGAAATTGTCAACATTGTCAAACACATAGAAGTATGTACTAGTTTATGCTTTCAAATACTACCTTTTGATATTAGCTAGATTATAAAAGCAGAAGTAGAATTATATTATTCTCTCTCTCTCTTTCTTTTTTCAACCATCCAAACATAACAGGTGATGTAGTTTTGACACAAAATATTACTGGAAAAAGCTTGAAATGGCAGTACCTCATGTTGCTTTCTAGTTGACTCTGAATTCCATCTACTGTAATTTTTAATTGAATATAAACTATTTATTAAAGTTTCATGAAAGTATTTAGGCTGGAAATGTGACACAGCTTAAGCTTGTTAACTTTCCACAGTGACTGTTACTTCTTTCTTTCATGTTTACAAACAGTTGTTTTTATGAAATTAGGCTCTGGATAAGAAAGATATAGTCCTGAAATTCCAGTTCACTTTTCAGACATCACATAAGGTCATTAAGGATACATTAAGAAAATGCAATACCTCCACTGGTTTGATTTTACTCTTAACAATAGAACTGGGTATTTGAAGGTATTTGAATTGAAGTCTTGTCATAGTTATCTAACTTTTTCTCAGATGATACACAACATAAAATATTTACTGCTCAGTGTCTCACCATAATACACACACCTTTGCACTACTTATTTGGGTCATTGATGTTGCGGTTGACTCAAAGTCACTATGACACCTATTTTCACGTAAATCAGTATATACCATTTTCAATATTCAAGGTAAGCTTCATCATAGACTGTTTGATGCTCAACTGCTTTTCTTGTTATTCACTATATGTTATAAACTAAATATCTTACGTTGTGATAGACAAAGAGTATGTAGTACAGATCACACCCATATGCTATTGCTTTAGTAGCCTTGGTTGGTCACTGTAGTATTAAAAGAAAATATAACTGTTAACTTGTATCTTTGTATTCGGCATAGCCATTAATCTTTTGTATCTTGCTACAGGGATAAAGTACGGTCTGCTTTAGTGCCAAAACACATTCATAATTTCCAGTTTTTCATTTTCATGTAATATCTATTAGCAGTTGTTTCTATATCTACAGAATCACAAAATCAACAACTCAATGTGGGAATTAAACTAAATTTTTTATTTACAATTAAGTTCATTGAATTCTAAACAGATACTAGCTTTGCTTTCAGTTCTTTTTAGTGTTGGCCCCAAGTAGCTTAATGGCAAGTCTGAGGGCTTATATTGCTGTGAGCACAACACATATAGCTTATTTGTGTAGCTTTGTGCTTTATAATGAACAAACAAAAAATCTTTATGTGGTAACTAAATTATTTTTCATTTGCAGCTAAGTTCATTGAATTCTAAACAGATATTAGCTTTACTCTGATTTCTTCAGTGTGGTATATGTTTAGCCTCAGTCACCTTAAAGTGGATGCTGTATTGTCAGGTTTGTATATAATGAGAAACAGGACCATAATTTCAATCAAAGAAGAAAATTGTTTTTTCTCTGAAAAGTCAGTGAACTATTAACTACCTTTAAAAAACAAACAAAAAAAACAACAATAGTAATAAAGTTTATAATAAATTTTGCATATTTTATAGGCTTATATATTTGTTTAAAGTACTTTTAACATTTCCCAATTTTCTCTTGTTATTATTATTTTTTTATTATTATCAATTTCTTTTCACTTTTGTAATAGTCCTATCCAGAAGATGGTGTGGCTCAAGTGATTAGGAACGTCTTTGATTTTGACAGTTATGCAACTGAGACTAAGAAGCTGCTCTTTTCAGTCCTTCACAAACATGGGATACCTGTAGGAGCTAGAATTCTGGATGTTAATTTAGGCAGAAAGTAGGTTACTGTAATTTTAAAAATGTTTTTAATAGGGAAGTAATAATTATACTTGTTTATTTAGAGTTAATAGGTAACGTATGTTAAACATTCTCATGATTTAGTTAGTAGCAACATTATATACTGCAGAGGAAATTTCAGCAGAATTTAACAGGTTGCTTTTTTTTAAAGAATGCAACTTCCTCAACCAGTATACAGTTACAAGTGGATTCCTTCGTTTCTGAAAAATCCATATGTTCAGAAAAGACCTTTAAACATAAATGTAAGTAACTTTGTTTATTTATGTGTATTCAATTTTGAGCTAAATAGATATATAATGTTCTTCAAATGAGTATTTGACATAGCATTATCTTTCTCATTCATAAAAGACATATAAGTGATGTAAATTTTAGTTTCTGATTGAATACTTTGTTGTTTAATTTAACTGAAATATTTTTTCAAGGTTACACTAAACATAAAGCCAAAATGTTAGGTTTAATCATTTGAACAAATTTTCACATTTTCTTATACATTATTTATAAATTATTCCTTGTAAAAATATTCATCATTGATATATTTAATAAGTAAAAGATTCAATTCCGGTATAGTACATTACCTTCTCTCACATAAATAGTTATTCCCGTTCAGTGCTGCCCTCTACATGTCAAAATTTTTTTGGCATGCCACAAGCCTTGAAGCTCCCACCAAGAGTAAGAGTGCGATACATTTTCTTGACGCATTTGACTCCATCTATTCAGTTCTATCAAACTATCACTTATCCTTTGGCAGTACTCATGTTGTAACGTTAGTTTGTGCTCTCTTGTGTTTTATTTTTTTATCCATATTTTTGTATAAATTCTTCTCAACATGTTTACTATTTATTATAAAATAATGATATTTGTGACTTGTGGAATTATTTTATATTTCTACCCAGTTACGGAACTTATAACTTCATTACAACAACTTTTTATTTATTTCTGCCAGCACAGTGGTTCTTGGTTATTCATCTTGAATTTATGAATTCAATGTTACCACTTCGGAGGTTGTATGTTCTGTCAGCACATTTACACAGGCTTCAGGTGGCAGTACTCCATGGGGAATTTATTGGCTTTACTTTGTTGGGAGATTGATTGTCCACTGAATCTACTTTCATTGGGCCTAACCTCGAGTTTGGGGGGCCCACACATTTTGAAATACAGTCTACTGACTTTGGAGAGATGTTATACTGTTATGGTTTTTGAATAATTTTATTGTTAATATTATTATCTTTAGTTATTTGGGTTCCATAACATAAGTTTCATTAGATTGGTCGATACTCATAGTGAACTTCAGGTTAGCAATTAGTCTCAGTTGTTTCTTTTCTCCTATACCATTGGCTTAGGCTTACCATGGTCTTTCTTATTTTAGGATTACCTGTTATTCATCTTACTGATATACAATCATTAGTTTAACTATTGTTTTTCTTCCATACATCACGTCTCATACATATATTATTGTTACTTCACACTTTCTTATTTTTATACACTCCCATCTATTTCATTTTTGTTATTATTTATTTTTTATCCTTCTTCCTATTCACTTGGTTTGTGTGGAACCCTTGAGCTGGGGTCAACAGAAACTTCTCCCAATATTGTACGTACTTAATGTTAGGTAAAGATTTTTATTTTAGTACTTAGTGATATTCTTTGTTCTGTACTGTTTGATTAGGTTTAACAAGTGTTTGTTATTTTTGGTTTACTTGTGGTTCTCTTTATGGGTTAATCAATAATTAGGTTAAATATCTTTTCTTCAACACATAAAATCACATACATATGTTTGTTTTACTATAGAATTTCTTAACATTTCCACTATATCGACTATTTAATTTTCATCTTTTTTTTTCTAGTTTATACTTTTTTACCATTAGTTTCATTTAATTTATAACTTATACTTCTTACCAATAATTTCGTTTGTGAGGGCCCCTGGAGGTCAGGGTTGACTCTTCCTTCTTCCTATAATGGCTGAACCCATTTTCAGATGACCTGGATTTTATCAGTTTTCATCCACCTTATCATGGATTGCCTTCCAGGCCTATATTGCAGAATCTGCTATGCCTATCTCATTTTTTTTAGACACGTTTCACAGTATATTCCCTTTCTCATGACATTGTTTCATGATGATCCTTTTCTTTCTCTTTTAAGAGTAGGTACTTGCAAGCCTCACCCTATACAGGCTTTAATTTATAATTTATATTTCTTACCAATCATTTCGTTTGTGAAGGCCCCTAGGGGGTCAGGGTCCACTCTTCCTTCTTCCTATAATGGCTGAACCCATTTTTAGATGACCTGGATTTTATCAGTTTTCATCCACCTTATCATTTTCTTCCTGATTTTATGTCATTTGCATCTCTGTTAATCCTGTCCATTTTATCCCCAACCTAGTTTATTTAGCTTCATTTTACCCTATTGACTCTCCTACAGCTAATGTTTACCTTCCACCTCCTTTCTTTGGTGTTCCACTTATATTTAGGGATTTTCGTGGGATACCTCCTCCTTCTTCCCTCCGTCTTAGGGTGTTTGCCATCTTCAGTTCTTTCCCTCCACACATGGCTTCTTTGATTTTGGGATCTACTAGGGTGGGACACTACTGTTTGTTTACCATCAACTGCTGATACGGACTTACGGTCAGTTCTTTATCTCCACTGGTCTGTATCTGAGATGCAATATTTTTTTAGTTGCTCTTTTGTTTCATTCTGAGGTATTATTATCTTTATTAACTTTACATGTTGAGCACCTTCCCATCCTTTACCTGTCTTACCTATAGGTTTTTTCATTCATCTTGTATGCTTGATGCTGATTGGGATTCTGGATTGGTCGGTCCCACCTCAATCATTTTAACATTTTTAATATGGGATCAGTCAATTTGACTGACCACATGATGTTTTTGTACTCGTTTAAAGTCTTTATAGATTTAATACTTATAACTCTCAATATAGTGAGTATATCTTCACGAAATTTGGCAGTCTTTCAGTTAATATTACAAGTCTTTCACATAGAAGAAGTAATATTTCTTATTGAAGTATTTTTAATAAAATAAAACAAAAATTTGTCCATGAATACATTGAGTATTTGTTTTGTATAGTCTGTATGCAAAGTAATTTTCATGTTAAAATTAAAAATACTTTCATCATCTCAAAAACCTCAAATTTCCTTTGTGTAATCCCTAAAACTCCCTAAATGCATTTCAAACTTTTTTTCTGTAAAACTTTATAGTTTATCTGTTATTTTCTCTACCCTATCTCAGAACATGATTGGTCAATTAGACCAACCTCATAACCATAGAAAAAATCGAAATAAAACTAAATTAACCTTTTTCTCTTTCTAGAATGACTTCAAATTGTAACATGAAACTACATTTGTTTATCCTAAGTAGCTCAAAGTTTGTAACATTATTCATCTATTTATAATTAAATTTTATTGTTTTATAGCCCTTTGAACCATGTCTAACTACTATCCATGGCATTATAAGTTGTAAATCACTCAGGCAATGTGCAGCTCACATTATGCTATCGAATTACATTACCCACAAGCTGCTTGCATGCGTGCCCCATGAACCATTTTAATTGTATTATTATTATTACTTATTTTGCCTAATCTTGTCTTAAATAACTGAGAAAGATCAGTATTTTTAAATTTTATTTACTTTTACAATAGTAAATAAAGAATAAATATGAAAAACAAGAAATAAAGTACTTACCTAATCTTCTTCTCTCTTGCTGTCGGGTTTCGAAGAGAGATAACCCTAATTTTTTATATTATAGATAGTAATGCACATAATAATTTATATTTAATTGAATAATGCACCAAAGAATCTAGACTAATAACATGCAAAAAGTAGACAAATTCACTTACCTCTCAAAATTTTCCTGGCTTTCTAACTATGCAACAAGAGCTGTTACAAATTCATCCAAGCTAGTCATGAACTTTCCCACAGGAATGATGCTGCTACTCTGAGTGAAATTGTCGATTATCTGTTCAGAACACAACGTTATACAATATGTCATTTGATAGATGAATACCTTGACTTTCTGTTGGTTATAGATAATGTATAATGAAATGTAAGAGAGAACTATCAACAAATTGTGAAGAGAGGATGTGACGGGTGGGTGCGGTAGGAGGAGTCTGATTTTCTATTTGATAGCTCTGTAACAAAACAAAATTGAAGGCTACAAAAATTATGATTTGTTTGATGGATAAAATAGGGATGATAACATGCTAAGACAAAATGTGTCACGTGGGTCACACTAGTGGAAATTCAGGATTTTTTTAAATATTCCCTTGTGGAATTAAGAACTTAAAACTTGTATACTATTAAGATATGGATTATTAGCTAAGATTTTATGCTATTCTAATTGGTATAACATAAACAAAAAGTAGTTTAATAACATTTGTAATGTAAGACACTAAAACCTTGTGTCATGTGCAGTAAAGGATACCCACAGTGATTGGGTTAATATGTAGTCTTTGATCACATTTGAGTAGGCTGTTTCTGCGTGACTGAGAATACCCATGGTACATGTTTTTATCTTTGGTATTTTCACCAAGTGATTGGGTACCAGTTTTGTGCCTTGACCTTTGGACTTGTTTTGGTTCCATATGTCTTTTATGGGGTGGTCTGCGTTTACCCAACTTTCACCTTTTGGGGGATGTTACCTACACCATTCATTGGATGTCTAGCTTTGGTTAGCTCCTTCCAAACAGGGTTATTCTAAACATACTCATCTATTCCTTCCACAGTCAGCTTGGATTTTTCAGTTGGATAAGTTTTCCTGTTACATACCTCGCATTCTAGTCTTTTTAGGGTGTGTATTATTAAACACCCCCTCCATCAGGGCCATCCATTTTCCTTCTCAAATGCATTTGAAGGAGTTTTCTGTTATCTGAGCCTTTACTTTGGGATTTACACTTAATTTTCATTCTCCTCTCTTCGTCTATATGCATTGTTAGTTGAACATATCCCCCATGACGTCAGGTTTACCACTTCATCCCCCTCTTCTGGATTGTTCCTCTTCCCTGATGCTCATCTCCAAAGATGGGGATGTATGTATGTGATTCGATCAGTAGAAGTCTTCAGAACAATGGTCTACAGTGGAAGGTCTTATCCCTTTCACACCCAGATATTTTTGCCAGTCCAAGGTGCTTTAGTTCACTCTCTTCCTCTTGTCCAGATTTGACTAACCCAAGGGGACAGCCATTCTTGTTCCCTTTGTGGTAAACCCACACATTTCACATACGTCTCTTGGAGGGTCATGTTCCAGGTGCTTTATCCTCTTTGCTAATTCACTTTCTCCCAAAGATTGACCTCTCAATCCCCATAATTATAGTTTCTTTTTTATCATTCCATCAGTTTTTTCCCCAAATTTTTTTTCATTCATATCACTCCAGTTCAGGTCTTTGTGATTGATCTTTCCTTGCCAGCATTGCTTTGGTTTCTCGGCTATTTTGGCCCGATTTGTTTTTTATGTTCTGGGTTGATTTTATGAATCTACATTTTAGTGGCTCATGTGGTATATTTCTTTCAACTCTTTCGTTTCTTACCATCTTCCACATTTCTTCTTGGTGGGATACAGATGACCTTTGTCCAGTACATGGTTGCTTCATTGTTTTCAAGGCTTCTTTTTGTTGAATCCATTTTCAACGTTTTTTTCCGTTACTCCACGTCTTTGTTTTTTGTTTTTTCCCTTCCTCCCTTACCCATTAAGTTAGGATTGTGGTTCAATTGGCCTTCTATTCCTTGTCTCCTTCTTCCCGTCATCACTTCCTGGTGTCTTCACTCCGATCATGCACTTCCCTTTTCCCTGTATGTCTACCCTGTCATCCATTTGAGGTACTCCATCTGTCGAGCACTGGGGTTACATCTCATACTTTTATCTCCCATTCTCTGCTTTGGTTAGCTGTTTCTTAATTATTGGGGTACTGTCCTCCACCTGTTGCCATCCTTCACTTTTTCATATGGCTGTGACTGGGTAAGTTATCTTTTAGTGTGTATACCTCTTATTTTTCAGGGGCAGGTTCCTCTTTTTCTTTCTGGATCCTGCTCTGTGGTGAGTGGTGCCTGTCCAGGTATATTTAAACTAGTCAAGTCTGCATTGTAAGACCATGCCAACTTGCATATTACAATTTACATGGCTAAAAAAAAAACACACTGCTGAGATGGGGTGTTCCACAAGATTGCTTGTAGGCTTATCCTCATGACATGTTTGCTTCATTAGTTTGCCCATTCCAGAATACTCACCAATGGGCTACATGGGTAAAGCAGAAGGGGATAGCTGCCCATCCCTGCCATGCTTTGTATTGAATAAATCGGTATGGTTTGCTTTTCAAAATAGGGTTTCATGGTCACTCATTGCACTGTCTCAGGTGTTGTCATTCCTCCGGACTCTCCACCATGCTTTCTCTCTCTCCTTCCTCCTTTTCTTCTAGTGGAGTTTGAGAGTCCTTACCACTTTCCAGTTCCAAGCTGCTGGGGTGATGGACCATAGAGGCATGCTCCTGAATGTATTAATGAATTACAAATAATATATGTATAGATACATAAATAATTATAAAACCATTCAGTTGAGAATAGGACAGTGGTGTTCTGTTGGTTTATCTAGATGACGAGATATCCTCCACTATGTAACAATGGAGTGAGCTGTCAAAATTGCATTTCACCACTTTGATTGGGATTCCTCATCCTACCCCCATGTGGATGTCAGTTCCCAGTGGCTAAGTTTTGGATTTAGAGCTGAACCAATCACCATAAGTCCTCACACATGTATTATATTTCTCCATTCCCTCACTAATGTTTACTCTTGTTACTCCATCCGTATTGTGGATCACAATGTAGGTACTTGCAGATTACTATGGTTCTTCTCCTTACACTTGTCCTTGATGTTCTTATTATTCCAAACATATTACTGTGCTTGGGGTGGTTCCTGTCATTTTAAATTTGAGTGAGATGGTTTACATTACACAGACATCTTTTTCACATTGCAATCATGGGTTGGGGGGGGGGTGTAAGAGATTCCCTCTGGTCTTTTGAACTTGAGGTGAAGATGGTATGATCCTTTTCCTACCCCCACATGGATGTCAGTTCCCAGTGGCTGGGTTTTGGATTGTAGTTGACTTACCAACAATATGATCCTCATCCTACCCCCACATGGATGTCGGTTCCCAAAACTCAAAGTAACACATGCATCAAGAGAGAGTGTTGCACTCTTATATGTGGAGAGTTGTCGCATGACGATTTGTATGCGAGATGCATTTGAATCAGTCGATTCTAAGATGGGTGGGAGCTTCAATGCTTGTGGCATGAGAAAAAAGTTTTGCATATAGAGGGCAGCACTGAACAAGAATAGCTATTTATTTGAGAACAGGTAAGTACCTATCAGAAATACATTTTTAGTATAGGAAAATTGTAACTTTAATAAAAAAAATTGAAAACCTTAATTAAGTTAGTTCAAAAAAAGGAAAAAAATCAAAACTTAAAGGTAGAGTACCATCTTAAAATACAATTTACCATCATTCAATGTGGTAAGCTACTCTTGCCAATAGCTCATGATATAAACATACAGTGTTCAGAAATCATGATTTTTTTGTCATTTTAAGTTGTATGATACACATAAATACCTAATTTGATAATGTACTGATTTGTCCAAAATAAATGACCAAAATTAAAAACAAAACTACTTGTATAAACCAAAAAGTAGCTTTTTCATGTCTGAAATCAGTAAAACAAACAGACTTAAAAAAAAAAGGGCATAAAAATCTTCACCTTAGATTATGTTAATGTAATTCCAAAATAATTAAACAAAGCATTTTGATAGTTATCTTATATCTGTATAAAGCATTGAGATTTTAATTATTTTTTTCCATTTTCACTTTAATAGTGGTTTTACATCAAAACTTTAAAACTTAAAATTCTTATGAAATTTTATGTCTTCTTAATTTGAAAAATAAATAAATAAGTTCTATCAAAAAATGCATGTACCTTTCAAGTGTTGAGTGCAAGTGCATACCTGTATAGCAAATTTCAAGTTTAACTAAGAATAATAATTCTAACTCTATTTCAACAATTTCTTACTGAAACATTTTTGAATTTATATTTTTATTATTATTATATAACATTTATTTAGTGTAATTCACAAAGCACAAAGAAGAAGTGTTCTATCTTTAATTTCTGCATTGTTATGAAGAGTCGTGCTTGTAAACAATGCATTTATCAATCTTTTTTATAAATTGTCTACCCATACCAAAGAATAGGTTTATAGTTGCAAAGAAACTATCATTCCTTAAAAATATAAACATGTCAGTGGTTTTATTACTACAGCCCTTTATGTTGTCATCCCAAGATGGGTAAACAATAAGTTCAATGACTTACAATTCTAAAATTTGGGATTTGATTCCCTGCAGTGGACAAAGTGCAGACTGCTCATTTTGTAGCTTTGCAATAAAAACAAATAAGCTAACCCTTACAATGTCACAACATATTGTTTAATAAAGTTCAGCTTTCAAAATAGCTAGAGTCAATGGCTAAAAACAGTTGGATAGAAATAATTCTAATCTATTTACATCAATGTAGAGTAAATAAAGTGGTTTTAATAGTACTTTATGCTTTGTCTACATACTGGCTATCCATATCTCTTATAGAGGTGAACAAAAGATTCTAATGGGAAGTTAACAACACTTAGAAACAAACCACAGTGACATTCTTTTTGTTTCTAAAAATGTTTTTGTATTAAATGATATCTGTTTGAAAGCTACAGGAATGTTCTTCTGTGACAAGACATCAGATAAGCTTATTCAGGTTTAGTGAATGCTGAAAATTTTGATTGAGTATTGATAAAGTTTATTATATTCACACAACACATGCAAATAAATAACTTATTATTTATTAAAAACAAACTATATATATATATATATATATATATTATATAAATTGATCTTGATCAAGAATATTCTTGCTAAAAATCATGGTGCCTGGCCTAACAAAGATAGCTGTGGACCTGAGGACGTGGAATAAACTTTGTCAGTTTTTGTTGTGTTTTTTATGATTTATAGTCAGGTGTGGTGACTACTAGAATTGGCAAAAAAATTAAAGATATATAAAAATGTATGAATATCAAACAAGTTTGAAATGTTATATAAAATGGTAATTTCTAGTCAATAATAATAAAAAAAATTGAAATTCTAAAATGAAGTGAAATTTTGCTAATGTTTTTTTTAACAGTGTGTATCACAAACATTTTTTGAAAAACCTACAAATATGTCTGAAATATTAAAAAATCAAATCATATTAATTTTTAAACCAAAATGTAAATACCATTTAGAAAGCTTGTTTTAAGTTTCATGATATTTGATTAAGTATTTCCATTGTGAGAAGGAAGAAGTCAGCTGATATCAGCGACACCTCTCCAGCCTGGAAGAGATTAGAGGAAAATATAGAAATTAATCAATGCAAAATAAACTGAAGTTTATTTTGGTAAAAAAGGCTAAAAAATTGTATTAACTGTTGTATTTTGTTGAGAATATAAATTCAAAATTATTCTGGATTATACAGTGATGAATGTTCTTTATAAAATTAATATTAAATTCTTCTTAAAGTAATAAAATATGAAATTATCAGACAATTGTAAAAAAATTAAAATATAAAAGTATATCTTCAGGACACAAGGTAACATTGTAAGAACTGCAGTGTGAAGATCAAAAGAAAACTGGTTACTTTTTATAAAAGAAGATTAGTGAGGTTTAGGCAGGTCTGAATATGTGTACAGTGAACTTAAACAACTAATAAGTATATTAAAAATTAATGTTTGGGTATTTGATGACAAATGTTTTACATGTGGAAAATATTCTTTTGTGAAAATAATGAAAGATTATGAAGTTTACTACCTAAACATTTGTCTTTCCAGAATTTAGCAAAATGTACGAGAAAAAATTTTATGGTAGAAAAACATGATCCCAGAGGAACAGTATTCACAGAGCAGTTGATGTCATGGAAACTTCCTCTCGAAGATATGTCCATCATAACTGATGTGGTAGTGACTAATGGTGTAGGTAAGGCTTATTTTAAAATTAAAGGCTTTTTTTAAAATCTGATGTGTTAGTTAAGAGTATTGTACATAAGATTTGAAATGTTGAAGAATTAATTCCTGTACACGATATCAAAGTTACCAGTTGTATAGGTAAGACATAACTACAGTACTATGAGTATTACTAGTAATATATATAAAGATTTAACCTTCAAATTTTTGTTGTTGTTATCTGATGTGGCACTTACTATTGGTGTATGTAAGACTTATCCTTGAAGATTTGTTTTGTACATAATGTAGTAGATACCAGTATTGTATGTAAGACTTATTTTTGAATATCTGTTTTCTTTCTAATGTAGAAGTTATCCATATCTCATGTAAGATTATAAAATATTACAAGAAAGAAATATGGTGGAAATAATGTTTAAAATGATGTGCATAATTAAAGTGATGGTATAATAGCTTTAGATTAGACCTGCTAAAGGAAACAGTTCAGTTAGTTGCAATCAAATAAACAATATTGTTATGTTATTAAACAAATTCTGTACTCACGGGAAAAAAAAAAATTTTTTACAAAACAACAGGCAGCAGTGAAAGTATTAAAGTAGTTGCTCTCCTGAGAATGACTCAGTTTATTGCTAGTGGTAGTGACATGAATGTGTTACTTTTTTGCTGATTCACCTATATTTGATGAACATATATAGTTGAGAATTCTTAGAACAAAGGCACTGAAAGATGAAACTGGAGTCAGTGCTTTACAAGTACTTCCAAGTACACAACTGAAAACAACAATGGCCATTCCAAAAAGATGTACCTTTTTCTGAGGTAGCAAATTGATACAGATATCTAATTCTTTATAAAAAAAAGTCTCAAGTAATCTTGCAGCACATCTAAAACCCACAATATTTATGAATTAATGATAATATTGAACTCCTGACTCAAGAGGTTCTTCAGGATGTATGAGAACAAAATTGCCTTTTGTGAAACGTGGATAAATGATAAAGTAAAGAATCTACAGTTTCATTACTAGGCCTAGGGTTTGCATGATGCAGCAAAGAGCTTGCTGGAGTCCAGCTATGAAGAAGCTAACACTCGCATTATGTTGCATGTTATATACACCACTGAAATTGACTATGTTAAGTGCATGGTAATTCATGTGATAGTGCTCCATATTAATTTGTATATGTTGTACTTATGAGAATTAGGTCTCCAAGAATTCAATTGGACAGTTACTTCTCAATGCACAAGACATCCAATGGTTTAGGTGATGGCCTATGTCATGCTTTCCTCCACTATTTACAATATAAGTAGTAGCAACACTATTAACTGTCTTTATTACAGAGGAAAGAAATTGCAGCTCCAGAGGAGCATGGTTATAGAATTGGATCATGTGGTACATTTTGCTGAGAACATCTTTACAATTACTACAGACCTCACTGAGCAGACAAGGAAACTGTTCTTTTCAGTGTATTCTATAGCAAGAATGAAGCTATCTTTTTCTAGCCTTGATGAACTCGTGGCACACAAGTCTTTGAACAATAACATAACAGTTCTCAAATTGTTAACAGTAACACTACAGTTCTCATATAATTGCCACCAATAGAAGATTCATTTAACTTCTTGTAGTGAGCTGCATTTGCTACCATCGTTAACAAAACCACGCCTCACTAAGTCCAAGATTTCCTGACCACAGGACCATAGAAGGAGATAAGATTTTTCAAATACCCATGACACAGCATGCATTGCTAAAAGGATTTCGTTTACCTGTAAATAAAAAAAGGATGTAATAGAAACTATATATGTGGCAGGCAATCAGTTCCATACTGTACTGGCTGCAAACACACAGGCTCTTCTGTGATAGCAGTAGTGATGCAAGTGACCGTGATTATTGAGAGTAAAGTTTTCTGTGATGAATGTACCAAAATAATGACTAACATTACTGTGATTCTACATTTATGCCATGTACTGATTAATAAACATATGTACAATCCAATGGTTGATTGATAGAACTTGCAAGACTGAAAGAACTACTTGAAGTTATTGGTTTAAAATTATTGCACTTTCATATCATTTGTATTTCTGTAGAAAAAAATTCTGAATAGTACTACAATGCTCTGTAAGGCACAATAATGTATAATGTTACATCAGTTATAACATAAAGTAAAACAAAGGCTGATTATTAACTCTATAGTTTTTTCACCTAGACATTACTTCATATGAATGATAATTGCCAATATTTCATAACATGCTAGGCCAGGTCACCTATAAAAGAGTGTAATTTTAAGAATGGCTCAAAAACTAAAAGTTGGTATAAATCATTAAAAAAAAGGAATTTTTTGTCCAGAAACTGAAATTAAAACACACAACCAATAAAAGCCAAATTTCCATATAAAATACCAGGCTGGGACAGAAAACCAGCATTGTATTTTATATGTTATTCATATTAATATTTCCTTACAGAATGACTAAAATTTCTTTGTTCAGCTTTATGTTAACTTTCTCAAGGTCAAGTACTAACTAGCCAAAAAGAAATCACAGTCTGAGATATATCATCACATGCTGTATACCAGTGTTATGACTAATATTGGAAATAATTTTTTTCCAGATATTGATAGTGAGATAGTGATTTTTTTGCATGTGAATAATATTATAGTTTTATAGGTTTTACATTGCATGCAAAATGTTGAGAACTTTAGTAATCATTGAAATCCAGCTCTCCCTCATACCATTATATAAGTTATGCAAAGAATTGTTATAAAAATAAGTTAACTGCAGATTTATTTACACATTCCTCTTAATTTAATAGGAATTTACTAACAGCATATATTTGTAATATTTGGAAATTGTTTTTAGATGGAGAGAAAGCCAATAAAATTCACATTATGTCAGCTTGTCCTTCATATTTGTTCTCATTGAGTCCTTCAGAAGAAATGGCATCAGTGCTTGATCTCCATTCAATTTTACCCACCACGTGGGGTTTTGACCGACTCAGATTTCAACTTCTTCCTTTGTCTGAACAGTGGAGAGACTGGCTTGTAGTACATGAAGGATTGGTAAGTTTTGTGAAATGAAATTGAACTTTATGTTGGCTCTGTCAGCAAATGAACATGTGTGTGTGTGTATGAATATATATATTTGTTTATTTAATACTGTATACTAAAAATTATCAAAGGATTGTTCTTTACATTCTATTTGATCCTCATCACCATATAACTTATAAAAGTTATCGTTTTAACCCTTTTATATCTAAGTAAACATAGAAAACTAATTTGGTTATCAAAATTTGCAATGAAAAGATACAATCATAATTCTGAAACACACTTTTCTCACATTTTATCTTTATCCCAATGAAAGGTTCTCTTCTTTGCCTGTCTAAGCATTGGTATGAATTCTATGTCACTTGCTCCAGCCTTTATACCCCACTATATTGACCCTAGTGATTTTAATCTTGTGACTCTCTCCATCTATGTCAGTGTGCCCTCTATACCCAATCTGTATATAAGCTCCTCGTTATTCTTTCTTATTCACTTTTTCTCAATGGCAAAAATTACAAAGACAGCCTTATGTGTTTACTGTGGATTTCTTTTGAATTATTTTAGATTTTTTTGTGGGGCTTGAGTTTATTGTTTATTTTCTTGATTTATGATAAAAAAAATGTTTTGGAGACGTTTATCAAATATGAATACTCACATTCATGTCTCGGACACAGAGTCCCCTGATGCTCCTCTTCTACCTCCTCATGAGTCTAACGTTACTCAGGTGTTGGGGAGGGTGGTCACCTTACGCAGAGGACATACAGTTCCTTATATGCAGAGAGGTAGAGTCTTACATTCAGTCTGATGCATTTTTCTCCTGTTAGATCTAATGCTGAATTTGTGGGAGATCAAGGGCAGACTAGTGAGAATTTAGACTCTTCTTTTTCCAGCATCTTCCTTTACTCAAATAGGTACTCCTGAACCTCAGAAGGACATTACTCCCTTTATTACAACTAGTATGCCATGTTTGTAATGTTTTGAGTATTTCTTCTGTGACATATGTATCTTCACCTTCTTTATTGGGAAACATTAGTTCATCCTTCCTCCTTAGCCAGATATTGCTGTGCATGCAAGGAGATTTGCAGATCAATTATTGGGTCAGCATGCCTTGGCTTGCCATCACCTAGAGAACCCTTATTTGGACTCTCAGAGGCTAGACCCTCTACTTCCTATTTGGGGCTCTAGACAAGATGCCATCTTAATCAATCTCAATTTCTAGAATTTACAACTGTTGTCTGAGACCTATCATAGACCCCTTCTCAAATTTTGGAGGATCTTATTCATTCATTGACTTTTATTCATTCATTCAGGTTATTGGCTTCTGCTCTCTTCTTGGTATCTTGGTTAGTTTGTTGCTGGGATCTTTTGGAGGGAGTTCGCCTTCTTACGTCAGCCCTTAGAGATTTCAGAAACTCCTTTGCTCAGACAATCTGTTTTTGTAGAAATTCCAGACTCCATGGAGCCTAGAGTAGATGTGGCCTGTCTAAATTTTTCACTATCTACACTGGCCTCTTGACTGTCCCACAATTCTTCTACAGGATGGTTTACTGCATCTCACGTTTGAGTTTCCAAACCTCCTACTTTGGTGCCATGATCCATTGGAACACAAAGGTAATTTTGACCTTACCAGTGGGGATCCTCCTCCAGGGTGGAGTGCAGATTTTGGCATCGGTGACTACCTTACGGGGTCAGGTCCACAGGGTTTGTGTCAGTGTGGGAGACATTCACTACAGGTCAGTGGGTCATTCAAGTTTTCAGGAGTGGATTGGTCAGTCAGTACACATCTCCTACTCCTCTGTTTCTCATACAGGTTGATTTTCATTCCCCAAGGACCCTCTTACTTTCAGCTGTCGAGCACAAGCCATCTGGGATCTTCTGCACAAAGAGGCTATAGAGCATATCACCTCCTCTCAAGGGTTTTTATTTTTGGCTGTTAGTAGTATCAAAAAGATGGGAGATCAGTGACCAGTCACTGACCTGGTATTCACACTCACCATTCCATGGACGATGGGTACTTCTTGGTCTTTCCTGCTATTTGGCAGAACTGCATACTGAAATTCTGTTATCAGAAGGTGTGAGAGCTGAGTTTCTTATCAAAAAGAAGTCTATATTTACTCCCACATAGTACCTCATCCATTTAGGGTTTTTTTTTCAATTCTAGACTAAGCTAGGCCCAACCTTCTCCTCTATGTCTTCAGGCCATGGAGCATGTGATTCTTCAAATCTAGTTGTCTCCTTCTCCTCCAGTATGCACAGTTCTATCTTTTTTGGGGATCCTTGGAATCACTTGTTCCTTTAGGTCGGGCCCACATGAGGGCCCTTCAGTGGTTGTTACAGGACGAATGGAACATTTGCATAGATGTGCTGGATTGTTTAGTGAGACTTTCAGATTCCAGTTTGCTAGATCTCAGCTGGTAGTTGAATAGGTACAACACAACAGTGTCCCTCTACCACCCCCATGGCCAGAGATACATCTGTTCACAGATGCTTCTTTTCAAGGCTGGGGTGCTTGTATAGTAAATATAGAATTACAGGGACTTTGGACAGTAAAGGAAACTTTTCTTCACACCAGTCTTTCAGAACCTTTAGCAGTTCAATGGGCTATGACTCAGAGTCTCGATTTGTTGTGAGGGAAGGTGGTAATGCTTCATTCGGACAATTCCACAGTAGTCTCATACATTTTAAAGCAAGAGGGCACTCATTTCAGATCTTTCTTTTCAAACAGTGGATCTTCTCCTTTGGGTACACAAACACGAAATTGTTCTCCTTTTTTATCATTTTCCAGGGGTAATGAATCTAGTGGCTGACCAGTTATCTTGTCACAACAGAGTTCTTCCTACGGAATGGATGCTTCATCCTCAAGTTTTGTGTTGGATCTGCTCTTGCCTAGGGTCACCACAGATAGATGCTTTTGCCACACAATGGACTGCTTAGCTCCCATCCTTCTGGTCTCCAAAACCTTACCCTCTGCATTGGAAGTTGATGCTCTCTGCCAGGATTGGACGGGTTTTTATCTTTCTGCATTCATTCCAATTTGTCTACTCTCCAAAGTTCTGGCACTGATTTGTTCCACGTCCTGTTGTGTTCTTCGGATGGCACCATATTGGCCAGGTCAGTCCTAGTTTCCACCCTCCAGTATCTTCAGGAGTGTCAGTCTCTTTCCTTTCCTCCCTGGCCATTTCTCTTATGTCAGCCTCAGCTGGACATTTTTTCATCTAGCAGTCGGCGTTCTTTACACCTGGGTTTTAAGTGGCCATCACACAACATCAGGGATTGATTTCTCAAGTGTCATCCATATTAAATTGTTCCTTTCAACATCCTTCCTTGGAAGTTTATCAAAGGAAATATTTCACTTATTGTCAATGGTCTCTCAGACACGGGTTTAACCCTTCACCTCACAATGCACCACAGGTCTTTCAACTTTTCACATGGTTGTTTGGCAAAAGTTTAGCACCTTTGTCTGTTGCCTTATCAGCCACTTTTCATTTTTCTAAGCGAAGATAAGTTTGAGTCCTCAGTTTTGTCATTACTTTTGAAATCATTTCTTGTTCTTCATCCTTGTTGCCCTTTCCATGTTCCTAATTGGGATATTAAAGTGGTTCTCCTTGCATTAACATGCCCATCATTTGAACCTTTGGGGTCATGTTCCTTATATCATCTTTCTTGTACAACATATTTTATTCTGTTATTGGCTAGAGGACTTCGACATTCAGATGTATTTGTGATTCATGTTCACAGGACACTGTACCATTCCAACTAGGGAAGGAGATAAGGCTTTCTCTCCTAATCATCTTCCCTACACATCCTATGTATAAGACCATTCGGATCCAGATAATTTTTTATGCTCTATTTGGGCTCTCAGATTTTTTGTGGCCTGCACTGAAGTGTTTTGGGGCTCATGTCACCAGTTGTTTATCCATTGGGATCCTTTGGTGTCACGTGACTTATCCCCTGTCACTTTGACAAGTTGGTTCAGATAGCATATTTTGGTCTTTCATTGGAGGAGCAAAGATTTCTTAGGGTTTCATCTCATCAAGTTCAACATATATATATCGATGTCCCTGGCAGCTCAGTTGCATTGCTCGCTGAAGAGAATTGTACAGGCTGGTATGTGGACCACAACTAACACCTGTATATCGCACTATTTACATGATTTAGCAGTTTCCTGCTCGGATGGGTTTCGGCTACACCCTGTGAATATTCTACATGCCCCGCCTCAATTGTGACAGATGTGAGTAACTTCATTCCTCTTCATGGATCTTCTCACCATTTTCATTTGGATTTAACTTAGTGGTGAGTGTTGCCTTGTCAGGTGTGCTTTTACAAATATGCACTAACTACCAGTAGACTAATAACTAAATTCCTGGTAGCAGCAAGCTCTGTTGTGATAGGATGTTCCATAAAAACACTTTGGCACTTTCTGGGTGTTGAACAATCGTTTTATATCAAATATAATATACAATACTGGACTGCCACTCATGGACTATCATGAGTAAAGCATAAAGGGACTTTGGCCATCTCTGTTAACTCCTGAATTGAACAAATTGGGGTTGGTTTGCTTTTCAAAATAGGGAGCTTGGTTCACCCATTGCACTGTCTCCAGATCATCATTCAACAGGACTCCCCAATGCAAGTCACCCCTCCTCCTTCTCTTCTAGTGAAGCAAGAAAGTCCTTACCACTCTCAGTTTCTAGTTGTTGGAGTGGTTGGAAGAGGTCTATTCCTCCTGATTGATGTTTGTACTCTATTCTACTCAAAGAGAAGAGGGCAATGTTGGACACCCTCCCACTATTGTTTTTCCAGATGTCAGGTGCGGAGCCAGGCCAACCTGGGAGCCTCCTCGTACTTCTGGTTCAGAGATGATACTTTGCTATCTGGTTGTGTGAGCATGGCCCTTCCTTTTGGTTATTCTCTTACTTTCCATGATCATGGTAAAGAGTCCTTGACTCCTTGTAATTACACACGCTGAGCTTCATGTCCATGAGCCATTGGTTGAACTTCATTTGTTCCACATCCTCCTCATAATTCCAGGAGCAGGAGGTGTTACCTTGCCTCCTAGGTTGAGGAGTTAGGATTTCCATTTCTAATCCCAAGCCAGATGATCTCTGTTTCTTCAGGTTGAGTGAGGTGTGAATTGGCTCCATAATTCTGAGTTTGGTTTGTTGTATTCTGAGCTTCTTCAGGTTGGGGGGGAAGACTTGTCCAGTTGGATGTTGCTTTCCTTCCCATCTTAATTCTTGTGGCTTGCATGTGACATTCTGTTACTTTCAGGTTGAGTGCCTGGGCCCATAATTCCGAGTTTGGTTTGTTGCATTTTGTGCTTCTTCATTTTGGAGTGAGGGTTTTTCCACTTAGGTGTTGCTTGACTTCTCTTTCAGGTTGGGTTCCCTTTATATGATATTCATATTATACAACTATATCATACTGCAGTTCCCATGCTTTAGCCACTACAACAGTGCCCCTCTACCACCTCCATGCCCAGAGATACATCTGTTCACAGATGCTTCTCTTCAAGGCTGGGGTGCATGTATAGAAAATATAGAATTCCAGGGACTTTGGACAGTAGAGGAAACAGTAGTGAGTGGTGGTAAGTGTGTTTTGGAAGTTTACATTTTCCTATGATGAAAATGTATTTCCGATAATAATTTATCTTTTAACTCAATATCCCGCCTTCCTCCACACAATAACCAGTGTTCAAGTTGAATAATCTTGCCACTCTAGAAAAAGTGAATAAGAAAGAATATGGATCGGGTATAGAGGGTGCATTGACATAGGTAGAGTCACAAAATTATAATCACTAGAGGTGATATAGTGGGGTACAAAGACTGGAGCAAGTGAGGTAGAATTCATACCAATGCTTAGACGGGCAAAGAAGAGAACCGTTCATCGAGATAAAGCTAAAGTGTGAGAGGAGGTAAGTATTATCGGAAATACATTTTTGGTATAGCAAAATGTAAACATTTGCAGTATTTCACGTGATAGCAACATCACACTGAAATTTTTGTTTGAGCTTTAATTATTTACATCCATAAAAGTAAAATACCGAAAGAATACTTTTAGAGAGAGAGATTGGGTTATTTTTGGTTGCCATATGTTTTAGATATATGTTAAATCACCCTATTGTAGGAGGCAAAAATAAAGTTAACGAGCTGTTGAGTAATTTATTGAATATTGTTTTGAAACCAGTTATTTTTAATGTTAGAAATTATATTAAAGACAGTAAAGATTTTGTAAATAAGTTACCTAAAAATAAAGAACAGTTTGATAAAAAAAGAAAGTGTTAACTTACTTTGTAGCCTCTATTTTATATATTTACTTCCTAACATATTAAGCAGGATTTTATATTGATTAGACAAACACAATGCTACTTGTGTGTCCTTCTTCTGGTAAAGTGTCTCAAATAAAGACAGGAGCAGGTCTTATGGAAGCAACTGTTAACTTTGCCTCCTCATGGTCAAGAGGAACCCAGAAGCAACAAACAAGAATTGCATTTGGTGGTAATGGCAGCACAGTGGTCACCTACCAATCTTCTGGGTAAGGGTTAGCTGAGAAAGACAGGAATGATTTCAAACCTCAACTCTCTCAACACAGGCTCGGTCAGTTTGACCAACCATGTGACCTCTTTGTACTCAGTTAAAGTCTTTATAGATTTAATACTTTTAACTTTCAATATAGTATCAAAATCTTCACAAAATTTGGCAGTCTTTCACATAAAAAAATCATGTTTTTTAGTGAAGTATTTTTAATAAAATAAAATAAAGATTTGTCCATTAATATATTGAGTATTTGTTT